ATTCAATACCGAGAAGTTAAATTCAGGTAGGCGGGCTCGTAGATCTGTATCAAGGCCTGGTGCTTCATCCAATATGAAATTGCGCGGAATTGAGGTCTGTACTGTCCACCCTTTTCTTCTCAAGAAAGATGGAGGAAATCCATCTGAGGCCACGGATTTGGCATGGAAGCCTCCCCATTGTCTAGGACATATCTCAAATTGTTGATATATGTCATGGTGATCTGGTTCTTCCGACTCTACGTCGCAAGCAAAGAAGCAATAGCAGCAGGTGACACCATCTTCTTTGGTTGAGCTAGTGAAAGCTTCCCTGCATAACAAAGTTTCCATGAAATTAGATTATAACAAAAGGCACAAAGGAAAACTACTTGGGAAACTAATCTCTGCCTAAATGTTATATATACCCTTTATGTCTTCCACGAGGTTTGATTGCATAGTATCGGTTTGAAGACAATGGCTGATCAAGAACAGGAATGAACACTACACCATCGCGACTAACAGAAGGGTGCTGTCCAGCGCCAGAGGAATAACGAACCACAAGCTTCTTGTTTTGAGGGAAAGGCAGGGAAGTTACTTCATTACTCGTGCAGGTGCCAAAACAACAGGTTTCTTCAGCTTCTTCATCCTGGATGACCAGAAGACCGGAGTTTGGACCCTCCGGAGGAGATGATGCTAATGCTGAAGGAAATTTTCTGTACAAGGAGAGCGGCCTTGTCACATACATCTTTGATCTTGGTGTCTTATTTAAGTTCTGTGAAAATTGTCTCCATCTTTCTCTATTTATAGGCTTATAACAGAAAGATGGAATTTTAATTTTGCCATTGACTAGTCAATATCCATTGGCTATTATTAAGTAATAACGCCCACAAATAATTAGGAATCAAAAGAATTCAAAGGTTTGACAATTCTTGCTCCTGTTTGGTACCTGGGAAAGTTACCGAATGTGTTGAAAATTAAATGTATGCACATTCCGTGCAATCAAAGGAAAGAGCGGATCAAAACCTCAAATGAGAATGACAATCTAGTGGAAGCTACGTACCGCCTTCCGGCCCGGCCGCCTAATCTCTATATGACTTGGACTACGAAAAAATTGTGACGATGGGAATTCAAATTGTGTTTGAAACCGTATATTTGTATTTGATGTGTTTTTTTTTTTAATATATTTATTTAAAATACATAAAATTTAAATATATGTATTTTAAAATATATTGTTTGGATTAATTTAAAAAAAATTCAAATACATGTATATTTAAATACATTACTTAGATATATTAAAATATTATGTATTTAAAACTAAATTTTTTTGTTAAATTAAACCCTCTTTTAATTATTATTTAAATTGAATATTTATCTAACAAGAAGATTTTTTTTGTATTTCGGATAATGAATTATACAACCCATCTCTACTTATTTAAAATTCAAATTTAAGATTTATAATATAAAATTTTAAGTTACAATAATTGACAATTTATTATAACTTGAGTTTTATTAAGTATTTGTACTAAAATTCTTGAATTTAATAAAAAAAATAAAATTTAAGGAAAATTAAAAAATTAATACATGAAAACACATTAAATATATTCATTGAACTATCACAAAATACACATGTATAGTAAGAATTTAATTAAACTTAAAATTTACATATTATATTTATACAAAATATTGACTATTTATACAAAATATAGCGTAACAAAAGGAAATAACTAATAAAGCAAAGCATACAGTCTGAGAAAATTCAAAAACATCAGTAGTTGTACAAATACAAATTTACTTTAAGAAATATAGGAGCACAAAAGTTCTCATTCCCATTTGCTTCTA